AATTACTTTCGCCAGCAGATGGTGCTGCAACTTTAGTTTTAGGCAGCTCAGGTAATCTTTCTGCATATGTGGCATGATATGTAATTTGATCAGAGAGAACACCATGTGACAAATGTGATGTGTGCACAGCTCTCTGTTCTGGTTGGCCTGACACAAAATCCACCAGGAGGTGTGTCTTTGGCTCCAAAGGAGAAGGCAAAATGGCATTTTTAGAGATTTTAAAAGCACTAGACTGTCTCTTATCTTGCTCAAACATAGATAAAGTCATTTTTGCCTGGAATAGCTCATGTTCAAAAATTTTTATCAGATCACTATAGCTTTTTACAGCTAGTTCACGAAAGGAGAGATCGGAACTGCGAGGAGAATAATGAATTGTTTCTCTCTCTGCGTGGGGGTGAAAATGCTCGGCTGTTTGTAGAAAATCTGGCCCTGCACCAAGCCTTACAAATTCAGAAGGTTCTGGGACGACTGTTTGAGAGCCTGCATAATTGGAAGGGGGCGTTACTGACCTCGGTCGCAGCACATTACCTTCAAAAGCAGCTCTGCCTTTATCTTCCTTCTGAACCCTTTGTAAGAGCATTTCGTCCATTTCTTCTCCTCCCACGGCTCCCTCTAGCCGGGTGGCTGAGGCGAGTGGCTGGAAACTTGAAAACCTCCTTTCTGCCTCCTCTTCATTGGAGAAATCAATCAAATCATTTACGAAGAGTGGTCTTAATTTCATTTTTCATTTTTTCTTCTTGTTCGGCATCTTAGCAGACAATTAATCAGCGTTCTGCAGTCGCAAAAATAATCATCTGGCTAAACTAGCCTAGAGGTCTAATCAAAGTAACAAGCAAGGAAAAAGCCTTAAATCAACCGTCTGTCTGCTACCAGGTGTCAGGGCGCTAATTAATCCCATTCTGCTTTTGGGTAATCGCATCTTGATTTAGAGACGTGGATCGTGGCATTTTCCTTGTGTATACTTTTGCAAGAAAATAAACCCGAAGATATTTTTTCTAAGAATAAACTCATTTATTTGTTATAAAGAAAATAAAACATCTAATTATCTAAATAATTACATCTTTTAAAAAAATTATTATATTTTTATTGTTAAAGAATAACAGAAAGGAAAAAAAAATTCAATACAAAAAATCAATAGTAAGGAAAGAAAATTTTTTCCCCCCAACGTGCTATACAAACGGAAAGGAAGTTTTAGGACCTTGAAGTCTTCAATTCTTCCAGAAATCTCTTTGATAAGGTACTGGTGCCGATTCATCCAATCTCCCAAGTGCAAAATCCACAAATGGTTGCCAAGTGTTCCAAAAAACATTTTCTTTATATATACCACTTCTAATTTTAATATCACAAGTCAATTTATCATTTAATGCAAATTTCCATGTTTCATTGTACCATTCTTCTAATTTTAAGTCAACATTTAATTTCCAATATCTAGCAATTATAATTATAACCAAAATCCTCACCAATTCTCTTTCTCCAGTTGTTAATGTTGTTTCATTCAATATTAATAATAATATGGTTTCCAATTTCAATTTGACCCTCTTCTTAATTATTTCAAATATTTCATTTTCTATCCTAGACCAAAAAAGTTCAACCCCATTACATTTACACCACATATGAGCATATGTCCCGAGTTCCACTTTACATCTCCAACACATTTTATCCACTTTATTATCCATTTGAAAAAGTCTTATTGGGGTCAAATACCACTTCCAAATGACTTTATAGTTATGTTCTTTAATCCTTATTGATAATGTCCTCATTATTCTACTAACCCAGTTCATATTCCAATTTTGATCAGAAATTTCAATACCCAGTTCTTTTACCCAATTCTCTTTCATTACCCTTTGTGAATTATTATCAAAGTTAATAATTTTATAAATTTTACTAACTAATCCCTTTGGCCCAATTTCATCTTTTATTATTCGAGATGTCAAATTTTCAAATTCCGTTTCCTTTCTACTCTCATCGTTCCTTTCTTTGCATTTCCTATTCCATTTATTCATTTGAATTGAGCCTTGATAGTACAGTGGTTTAGTGCACCCTGTTATTAACACAGCTGCCTGCAATTTCTGCTGGTTCGAATCTCTCCAAGGCTCAAGGTTGACTCAGCCTTCCATCCTTTCTAAGGTAGGTGAAATGAGGACCCAGTTTGTGGGGGCAATAAGCTGACTTTGTATAAAATATACAAAAGAATGAAGGCTATTGCTTAACGCATTGTAAGCCGCCCTGAGTCTCCGGAGACGGGCGGCATATAAATCAAATTTAAAAAAAAAAATTCTTTCAAACCAATTAATGTTTAATTTTCCATAAATTTCCTCTTTCCTCATTTCATTTTCTATAAATTTCAACCATTCACTAATTGTTTCCACTTTCTCTTCTATTATGATCCTCTCTCTGTTACTATTTAATTTTATTGGGCAATTCTCTTTCAGTTTACCTAAATACAATGCGTCTGGTATTGATTTTTTTGCTACTCTGTCCCAATTTTTAGTCAAACTATTTAACCAATAATTACAAATTTTAACCTTACCTTTAAAATTTTCCAAAAACCATTTGTAACCAAACTTCTTTATTTCCTTCATTTCCAAATTACCCCAAAGTTTAACATCTTCTTTTAAAATTTTTACTACTGTTTTTATATTAAATGCTCTATAATAATTTAATAATTTTGGAATTCCTAAACCACCTTGTTTTTGGTTCTGATACCATATTTTCTTAATCAATCTTGGTTTTTTATCCCCATTACAAAATTTATCTAATGTTTTTTGATATACTTCAATGTCCTTCTCGGTTAAAAAAATCAGAAGCATCTTGAATAAAAAGTTAAATTTAGGAAGTAACATCATTTTACATAAAGCTACTCTACCAAACCAAGATAACTTAAGTTTTTTATATTTCCCAATTTTCTCTTCAATTTCTTTTATTACTATGCCATAATTTAGTTTCTTTAAATTTTTAATTTTAAGTGAAAGTATAATACCTAAATATCTTAAATTATCCTTTATCCTAATTCCAAATTGATTTTGTAATTTTTCTAATTTATTTTCCCTATCAATTTCCATTAATAATTCTGATTTTGCCCAATTTACTTTCAAACCAGTCATATCTTCAAATTCTTCCAAATGTATTTGAACTCTTTTTATATCATTTGTAAAATTATTTAAAATGACAAGAGTGTCATCTGCATTTAAATTAACTTTGACACCTTTATAACCTATTAATTCTGAATCCTCTTCAATCAAAGTTATTAAACTTTCCATTGCTAATAAAAATAGGGTTGGAGACAGGGGACAACTCTGTCTTGTCCCTGCTTCCAAATTTATATCTTGTGTAAATATACCATTTACTTTCACTCTTGCCGTACCCCTCTGGTACAATTTGGAAATAATATGAATAAATTTATTACCAAATCCTAATGCAGAAATCATTTCTTTTATAGTATCCCATTGTATAGAATCAAAGGCTTTAAAAATATCCAAGGCAAGAATACCTATCTTATCACCATTATTCTCAGCAATATCAATAACATTTAATACTCTTCTAACTAAATCACACATATAACTCCCTTTAACAAAACCTACTTGATTATGGTTTATATATTTATCTATAAAATTATTCCATCTATTTGATACAATTGCAGTAAATATCTTAGCATCTTGGTTAATCAAGGAAATGGGCCGATAGGATTCAATTTTTTCTAAATCTTTACCTGGTTTCGGGATTAAGGATATAATTGTTCTATTCCAGGACATGGGAATATCATCTCCATGTAATATCTTATTATACAATTTCTGTAATTTTGGGATCAAAGTTTCTTTAAACTCTTTATAAAATTCTGCTGGTAACCCATCCTCACTTGGAGATTTTCCAAGTTTTAGCTTCTGAATCACATCTTTAATTTCCTCAGAGGTAATATCCTTTTCCATTTTTTCTTTATATTTATTATCAATTTTCTTCTGACCATATTTTTCTAAGAAATTTTTTAATTTACAATTATCAATTTATTTTTTAAGATATAATTCTTGAAAAAACTTTTTAACAATTTCACATTTACATTTTGGCAACGTTCCTGCCGGCCACCTCTCTGTGGTCAGACTTCTTGGCAAGAGAACAAAGAAAAGTGTGAAGTAGAAAGAGTGAAAGAATGCGGACATGCGTAGTTAGCTTACTGATAAGAAGTTTGGCAAGCTACAGAAAGTCTTAGAGTCTAAAAATATGAGCTCATCTGGCAAATACAAAAACGCAGTGACACAGGGGGTGTGGTTCACGTGTGGCCCTTGGATCCCATGCATGCGGGGGACTTTGCTCCTTTGTGCGGCCTAGCTCCTGGCGGGCTGCACACTGGTGCCTTGGCCATGAACCAAGGATTGGTTTAAATCCTGCCTTAAATCATTTTGTGTGTCATGGAAAATAAAAAAGTCAGATAATGATATTAAGCTTGCACTCCATACTGACAAACACATGCTCTATTTTCAGATCTATTCTATGTAAAATTAATTTCAAGAATCTGACATTTATCAGAAGCACCAGATTAGCTTCCTTCCCTCTCCAGATGAGAGTTGTTTTCACAGAAGGTTGAACAGAGTCCCCAGACTCAACTTCGGAAGCATGTGAAGTGCTTCTAAATCCACCAAGCTACATCTACTAGAAGAGCAGCACGGGGGAAAGTGAGCGACGCTTTCCTACGCGCTTTTACTTTCGCAGGACTCAACCGCAGCCAGGGATGCATTGCTGTCAAAAATTGGGGATTGGCCAAACGTCCTTGGGAAGGGATCGAGAAGGGAGCTTTTGGGAAGAAAAACGTATTTTCGCCATTCGAGGAAGATCCTCCTCGGGACTGCTATAAGTTTCTCACCTTTTTACCCCTGGAGGAAACCCTGAGAAGGACGTCCACCTCTCGAGGCCGTCCTCGTGTCATTCATCCCGCCCCTTCCCCAGAGGGGGAGGAAAGATGGGAGGAGTGATGTGGTGGGTCGAGCCGGGCGGCGCGATCCGCGAAGTAGCGACTAGAGAAAGAGGCCACCTCCTTTTCTGCCGCCACCGTCGCCGCACCTGATCGCCTGGAGCTGGTGGAGGAGAAGCCGCCCTCTTTCCTCTGGCTCCAGTAGGGCGCCAGGCTCCCCAAATCGTTTGCCCATGGCTTCAACCGGCAGTGGCGTGGAGGAGGTGCGCGTCTCAGTGTTGACCCCGCTCAAGCTGGTGGGGCTGGTATGCATCTTCCTGGCATTGTGCCTGGATCTGGGAGCCGTACTGAGCCCGGCCTGGGTGACGGCCGATCACCAGTCTTATCTGTCCCTCTGGGAGTCCTGCAACAAACTCGGCAACCCGGAGACCTGGCGCTGCAAAACTACCTTGAACAGCGGTGAGAGAGACCCCGTTAAGTCCAGACTGCTTTGGGTGTTTCCCCATTCTTCCCCTCCGGCACCCCAAGCTCTAGCCTTCTTTCGGACCCCACCCAATGCAGCAGCGCTCCCCCTCCGACGCCTGGCCACGGTCACCTTTCCTGCTGCCGCTGCTCATAGCCCCGTAGCCCCACCCCAGCATCTTCGTTTTCTTCTTCCCCTCCCTTCTTCGCTTTTGCCTCTAATCCTTACCTCTGCGCTTGTCTTCCCCCAGGAATGATCCCCCACCCACGCGCTCTTCTCGCAATCTCTTTCTTCCCAAGGAGCTGTTCCTCCCACCTTTTAGCGCACGCCCAAGCTTTCCCCTGCTCGAATGGGCTTCCATAGCTCCGCTGGCTGTTATGACCCTCTGCAAGCTTCCTCTTTACCCCGCCATTCGGCTCCAGCGCTCGGTTGCCAGCCTTGCAAATTACCGGCGCAGCATCGCCTGTTTGGCAAGACCTTCTTCATTGGGCAGCCACTTTAGAATTAGGTCTGACTTTGACACGAACACACCTTTCTTGACATTATGGCTGAAGTCTTGGGATTCGAAGAATTCTTCTCTCGTCCCAGATTCTACATAGTATCCGCCCTTTATTTAATGATGCAATTACTTTATTTTTGTTTAAGTATTATTAAACACTCTTACCTTACTTCCTAACCAACTTCCCTAAACTCAATTTTCTATTCTAATCCTCTAGTGCTTCCTTCTGGATTTAGGCTTTCCATCTTCTTCCTATTTTTTCAGCAGTTCTCCCATCTTTGTAGCCCCAAGTGAAAGGGGAAAAACCCACATTTTTTAAAAAAAAGGATGCTTTTGGAAAACATCTGCTTTAATAGATTTAATATACCATATAATCTAATAATATAGCATATTCTCTTTGTCTCAGAAATAAAAATGTTGGAGAGATTTGGAGGAGAAGAATAAAGTTTGCAAGTCCTTTATATCAGGTGATCATTTGAGATACTTCATTTGCATATTTAATTATGGATTGAGTATGAATCCTGTCTGATCAAGTGTGCAGGTGGTTGAAACAATATTTGGCTGTTGTTTCAATTCAGGTCAATGTTTGTACCTAGCACCTGTTTAACAATCCCTAAACCAACTGATGGCAAAGTTTTGGCATTCAGCTTCTTTATGTAGCCAACATAAAGTCACATTTGATAGTTTTTTTCTGTCCATGTATGACCTCTTCTATGCCTCATTTCTCAGTATTTTCTCTCTGTGTGTGTGTGTGTATGTGTGTGTGCATCTGTGTCTGTCTGTCTGTCTCTATCTTTGTTGGCTGATCGGTATTTCTCTTATAGTATTTTCTCCAGGGCATCCATGGGTGGGGGGAGAAGTAGGGGATCTGTCCCAGTGTAAAATCTCTGCCGTTTCAAAGGGGAAGGTTGATTTCTTCTTCCCTTCAACCAAGTACATGGTTTGTTCAGTCCGTAAAACAGTAGTTTGGGTTGTTTTTAATTTTCCACTGTATATTACAATTTTCATAATTTTTGGAAATATTTAGAAGTTAAATTGTAACCCATATTTAGTAAGTTTAACTCATGAATTATCCTTAGGTCTCATTGTATTTCAAACCACATCATTATGCAATAAAATATGGGTTTCCTATTGGTCCAAATGTGTATCTTACATTTTGTTCTGGTACATATGGAAATTCTTTGCATTGTTCTAAAGAACTTTGCTTGGAAACTATATTGGGAGTCATTTTCTTTTGTTTATACCTGTCATTAGTGCCTGAAACATTTGGTCTGAGGTGTCTTTCTATTGGGTCCTTAAGAATATACATATATTTGAAAGAGGTATTACCTTGTACAGTTACTGGGGAGCCAACTTTGTATGAAAGGTTTTTTTTTCTTTTCTTTCTTCTCTCTCTCTCCCTCACTCTCTTGCCCTAGCCTACCCCAACACTGAAATTTATGTAGGAATGTTAGCCCAGACATCTCCTTAGCAACAGGGTTTCTTTGCCCCATTTCTTTCTCTCCTAAATAATATCCCCTTGATTGCACAAAATTTTTCAAAAGAATTGGTTGCAAATGTGTGTGTGTGTGTGGGGAGGACTGAGTTTCAAATCTAGCATTCCTTTTCCATCCCCCATATTCTTTTCTTACCTTTAAATAAATTAGTAAAAGTTAAATAGTGATTAATAAGAGTGTTAAACATTTCCTAGCTGCTTCTGATAATCATCCACCTTTTTAGCTGAAGAACTGAAGGTGGTTGCTATGGGTAGTAGATACAATTATGGGCACATTCCAATTTTTCAGACTCTGAAATTCTCTTAAATTATATTGTGGAATGAGTGTACTTATTTTTATTTTGTTTTTAATGTATCCTAGGGTTTACAAGTTATTAGGAATGAATGTTGAAGCTAATTGAATAAAACTGTTCATTGTATTTTGGCTGAAAGTCAGGCTTTGATAGTGCTCTGCACTCTGTGAATCTGCTCAGATCCACATGCATATACGCATATGCTCACCCTTCAAGGACAGTAAATCCTGTGTATGTATTGGTAAAGAGTCTTATTGTGCTTGGTGAGTAATGGTTCAGGTCCATTATGCTTCATTAGGTTAGTTTACATTGATGCTTATTCTTCATTATTACATCTTCTATTTTCTCATTCCCCTTCCTGCAAAGCCTATATTGCATATCAAACCTCTTTCCAGGAAGACATTGTAAGTTGTATAACAATTAGATATGCTGGAAAGGAGCAGAGATTTTCTGTGAAAATGCTTTTTAACTAAGGCACAGAAGCAAACAATATTGTGACTGGAAAAACAGAATGAACCAACCAAAAGCACAGGGCACTACCTTAAAATATTTGCTTTGTTTTCTCTTGAAAAACAGCAGCACAAGGGACATTATCAAGGATAGGAATGCACTAGAGCCTGCTAAAGCATATCAAAGGTTTAATTGGGAAAAAAAATTCCTCTTTTAATTAAACTTGAAGCCCGGATTGCTCACAGAGAGGGCAGATCCATTGTTTTGAATCAAAATTGTCTTTGTTCAGGTTTGAAGTTCTCTAAGTAATGCTCTGATCTTACAGGTTTTTTTTTAATACAGACTGCACATCAATATATTTCTATTAATACAGAAGAGGTGATTGTGTATATGCTTTAGAAGTTTAGATGATTTAGTTAGACCAGTTATAGTTTATTTTCCTGAGAGTAAGAATGACCTATAGCTGGCACTGGTAGGTAGGAATATTTGTATCTTTTAATTCAGAACAGCCCGTTGATACCTATGAACTATAACTGTAAACAAAAATCACTAATTAGGATTTGATGCAATTGAGAGCAGTAAGATTGGCCACAGGATCCATTCCTATGTTACAATTGAATGCCTGTACGTTTTCTTTTTTGCAGCATTTAAAATGTACATAATGTAGTCTGGGTAGCATAATTGTACAACACTGTTAAATCCTATGGTACAGAATCCTACATTTCTTAGTGATTCTTAGTGTCTTATATTATACATCAGCCATCCAAACTTTGATGTACCAAGAATAACTACAAGACTAAAGGTCTTTCCAAGAAATGTTTATTTTGGTGTAAACACATATAAAAAGTCTATGGTATACTAAACTGACAGCATAAAATATGCAATAATAATAATAAATAGTATAACTTTTTATAATACATTATTATTTGGAGTGGGCTAGCTGGTGTGTTATTATGCAATGTTTATGCATCATTTAGATTTCTTGAAATACATTCCTTATTTTTTAGAAGTTGTACTGTGCAAACATATATTAATCAATACTTTAAATGTGGTATATAAAAAAAATCTTAGTTATTTTTGATTAATCATTGCAGCAATTATTTCTTTAAAATAGTGGAACGTGAAATATTGGTAGTCACTCTACATTGCTCTTTCCCACTTACTGTGAAAATCTTAAAGAATGTAAATTGAATTTCGTTAAGGTTGAAATATAATACCTAGGAATAACAAAGTTAATATAAAAAAAAACCAACAAAGCAACTGCCATATTTAATTTTAATTTTTATAGATTTCTTTTTAAAGCTTTCTAGAGCATAGCATGTGAGTATGTGCGCACACACATACATACAAATGCACAAACACACACACACACATTCACATATACATGCCTAAATCAATCAATTTGATGGTATGAAATATACTGTATGATGGTTTCTGCGCTGAAGGCCATGGACTGTAATCTATAATGCTGGTCTAGTGAGGTAGATTTTTCTCAGCTTCCCAGTCCAGGACTGAAGGAAAGTCAACAGCTCCAGTTTGTCCAGCCAGCTTCTTTATTTAAGGTAGGATTAGATTTTGGTATCTCTCCATTTCTAGTCCAACAAAGAACTACCAAACTATTGGTTTTTGTTAATGATATAGAGATAGATATAGATAGATATACAGTAGAAGATAGATAGATAGATAGATAGATAGATAGATAGATAGATAGATAGATGACAGATAGATGGACAGACAAATCACCCTAAATTCAGAATATAGGTCATTTTTTACAGAAGGATAATTGTTCTTTTAAGTGAAGACATTTTAATTTCTGAACATTTATGTGATCAACTATGTATATGTGCATAGAAAAATACACGTACAATTGCAAAAAATCCCAATTTTTGTACCATGCACAAAAATAATGATGTAACATTTGTAAGATTGCTTACACTCTTTAGTCCACAAAAGGTAACTAAATATGGCTTTTTGAATTTTTTTAACCTCTCACTGCTAGTTGGGTGTAAAGACTATATATAGCAGGAGTCCCCAACCTCTGGTCCATGGACTGGCACTGGTCTGTGGCATGCCAGAAACCGGGTAGTGCAAACAAGCGAAGCCCTATCTGTATGATGCAGATAGCACACAAAACCATGCCCCCTCATGTCCATGGAAAAACCTCTCTCCATGGAACCAGTCCCTGGTGCCAAAAAGTTGGGGGAGGCCAGTGGTGGGTTGCCCCTGGTTCGGACCGGTTCGCAAGAACCAATAGTAAAA